ATTAAAAATTAAATTAAAATTAAAAAGTCAAAATTCGGATTAAATAATTAATTTGAAAATAAATTCTAAATTAACAAATTTCTTTAAATTAAATTAAAATTTAAATGAAAATTTAAATTTAAAATAAAATAAAAATAAAACTTAAATTAAATTTTAAAAAAATTAAAAATTAGAATTCAAAATTTATTTTGAAATTAATTTTAAAATAAAAAATTTCTTTACATTGAAATTATAATTAAAAAATGTAAATTTAAAATAAAATAAAAATAAAACTTAAATTAAATTTTAAAAAAATTAAAAATTAGAATTCAAAATTTATTTTGAAATTAATTTTAAAATAAAAAATTTCTTTACATTGAAATTATAATTAAAAAATGTAAATTTAAAATAAAATTACAATTACAATTAAATTTAACATAAAAAGTTGAAATTGGAATTAAAAATGTAATTTCAAAATTAATTTTAAAATAACAAATTTCTTTAAATTAAAATTAAAATTATAACTAAAATGAAAATTTAAATTTAAAATAAAATTAAAATTAAAATTAAAAAGTCAAAATTATGATTAAATAATTAATTTGAAAATAATTTCTAAATTAACAAATTTCTTTAAATTAAAATTAAAATGAAAATTGAAATTCAAATTCAAATTAAAATAAAAAATTAAAATTAGAATTAAAAATTTATTTTGAAATTTATTTTAAAATAACAAATTTCTTTACATTAAAATTATAATTAAAAGAAATGTAAATTTAAAATAAAATTACAATTACAATTAAATTTAACTTAAAAAGTTGAAATTAGAATTAAAAAGGTAATTTGAAAATTAATTTTAAAATAATCAATTTCTTTAAATTAAAATTATAACTAAAATGAAAATTTATATTTCAAATAAAATAAAAAATTATAATTAAAAAGTCAAAATTCAGATTAAATAATTAATTTCAAAATAAATTCTAAATTAAAAAATTTCTTTAAATTAATTTAGGAATTCTAATATTAAAAAAAAAAAACCGGTTGATAGTCGGTCGGCAACAACAAAAAATCCACCTCTACTCTTCGGATTCCACCATTTCCGGCGAGCTCGAGCTCCCCAAACACCAAAAATTGGCGAACACACTTCATCTATACGCAAATCTACCCTAAATCATGCATTTCATATCACAAAAATCATATTCCAACCAATAATCTAACTAAAACTCAACAAAAGCCAATAATCTAATTATAATTCCACAAAAACTAACATTTACAACTCTTAAAAGCCGACAACCGAAAGTTCTTTGGTGAGAGAGATGTCTGGACGGCCGACTGTCAGTGGATCTGATTTTTTCTTTCCAAACCGTCGACAGAGAGAGATGAAGATGGAGGGATATTTTTGGAAAAGTATCTTTAAATTGTGTTTTCGTTTTTTTTTTTTTTAAAATCAGTCAAAGGCCAAAGTGGAAATAAGGGCGGGTCAAATGGCCATTTTCACTTAGTTCCTCTTTTGAAGGATCAGGTGGGCTTGAGGAGGATTCTGGAGATATGGGTTGGATGTGTGAATTGGACTGTATGCCTTAATTTTATCCATAGTTGGGCTGTAATTTGCTTGGTCCGTAAGTTTATATGCTTGATTAATTCATCTATACTTCTTCCCCCTTGATTAAGTTTAGGGAAAATTTCATAACTAAGAAATTAATTATGGCACATTTCAAAAACAAGAAAACAAGTTTGAAATTTCTAAAATCAGGTTTTTATTAAAAATTATTTATAATTTAATTAGTTAATTAATTATTTTATTAATTAAATATATTTAGGTCACAGATCTATGCAATTTGATCACAAATTAACAATATAATTAGTTACATATTATTTTTTGGTCACAAATCAAAAATTTTATGTCACAAATTTTTTTACGATCACATTTCAAAAAATTTGTTTATTGGTCACAAATTCAAAAATAATTAGTCACGGATTAATTTTTAGTCACGATTTATCATATTATTGGTCACAACTTATTTTTCGGTCACAAATTAAAAATTTTATAGGTCATATATTATTTTTCGATCACGAATCAAAAATTTTATTGGTCACAGATTAATTTTTCGGTCACAACTCAATAAATTATAAGTCACAAACACATTTTATAGGTCACAGATTAATTTTTCGGTCACAACTCAATAAATTATAAGTCACAAAGACAAATTTTATAGGTCACATATTATTTTCGATTACGAATCAAAAATTTTATAGGTCACGAAATCAAAATTGTTATTGGTCACATCTAATTTGGTCGCAAATTAACAATTTAATTGGTCACTTATTATTTTTTGGTCACGAATAAGAAATTTTGTCACAAATTATTTTACGATCACAATTCAAAAATTTTGTAGGTCATAGCTCGTTCATCGATCACAAATCAAAAAATTTATGAGTCACGATTAATTTTTAGTCACAACTTATCAAATTATTGGTCACAGCTCGTTCATCGATCACAAATCAAAAATTTTATGGGTCACGAATAAAAAATTTATAAGTCACAGATCACAAATATTATAGGTCACAACTTAAAAAACAGTCACAAATTATTAATTTTTTAGATCACACAATATTTCTTGGTCACGATTTTTTTTTCATTGGTCACATATTGTTTATTAGTCACAGATTAACTAATTCGCTGGTTACATTCGATCAAATAATCTGTGACCACCATCAACATTTGCGACAACCACCGCCACCATCAAGGCAGAACCGCTACCACCACCACCACCACCCATCAACAACACCACTGTCAAACGAATCAACATATCCACCTCAATAGACCACAACCACCAATAGTTCACCGTCATTGCCGCACCCACTGTCGTCTACCGCCACGACCACCGTACCACACAACACCACCACCAACACAACCAAAACCACCATGACTACCGCACCGCCCCCACGAACACCACCACCATCGCACCGCCCCCTCCAAAAAAAATCCCCAATCTGCCACTGGACTCTACCACCATCCCACCGCCCGTATCAACACCTCCACTCAACCACAACACCATCACATACAACCCACCACAAACACATCACCACCACCACGCACAACCACCGCCCACAGTACACACACAATGCTACCACATTACAAGCCCACGACACTGCACAACCACAACACACAGCACAATAGTCAATCACGACCAAATCCACCGCCGCAGCCCACCGTCCAACAACCATTTAGCAAAAATTTTAAAAAAAACCCACTGATTGGTGCTTTGGTGAAGCTTGAATACGTCGCGAATCCTCACGACGACGATTGTCTGCATTATCTGGCCAGCGATTGACGCTTCTTCTGGTCGGGGATGCCGTGGGTGGTGATGGCACAGTGGGTGATTGGGGCAAGGGAGAGAAGACGGTAAGAGAGAGAGTGAAAATGGTTGGGGACTGCGAACTGGAGAGAGGGTAATACGAGAGAGAAAATGATAGGGTTTGGGATAAAAAAAATGTTTATTTAATATTAATATTTAAATATATTAATATCTGATTTTAAAAAGATTAAAGTTCCCATCTGGTTTCAAAATTCATGATTTTAATGGTAAGGTTTTGTGTAATTACCACTTAAGTTTATATGCTTCATTAATTCATCTATACTTCTTCCCCCTTGGGCCAAATCCATAATACAGCCCAAATCATGACGTTGCAGCCTTCTATCATCAGCCTGTGGAATGGGTTTAAACCCATTAACAAAATTGCTTCGGTGAAACTCCTCTGGTGATGTCGAGAAAGGGGTGACCAGATTTTCGAACAACTTCCGGTAACCCCTGTGATTTCGGCAATCTGTAGTAGCTCCGATTTCCCTAGAATTGGTTGGAGTTCCAGAATATAAGGTGTCTTCAGATGAGTTTGCTTCCTGTCCTTTCTCCTTCCATTCCCGTCCCTGTCCTTCCCGTTCCGGCACCATCATCTCACTTTTCTCCATTAGAATTTCCAAATCCCATCGATACTTGCCAAAAAATTCGTCCTCCTAGGATGGTCGAAATTCATCTATGTCTTCAAAAATTGTCGGCTCTGATGAGTTCTCTGCGATCTCTTTCTCTTTCCCCTCCCTTTCCGGCTCAGCCATGGATTTCTTCTCCTGGCTCGACCAATTCACAGTGACCCGTCTCACCTCTGACCTCTTCTCCTCCTCCAGCAATGGTGATGGCTACGTAACCTCATCCAATTGACCACGTTCAGCAATCGTTATCTCCTCGTGTACCATACTTCTGTGCTTTCCTGCTGGCAATTCTTCATCACTGGAGAGCTCATTCATGCTAAATCGAGCCAACATCAGTCCCTTCAATTCATTCCATGTTCGCACCGATCGTTGTTGATCTACCTCCTGAAACCATTTCCATGTTTCCTAGTCAAAACAGGATGTTGCTGCTTCTATTTTCTCTGCCTCCAGCAATTGGTTTATGGAGAAAATATCCTCCGCCCTAGAGATCCACCGCTTGGCATTATCACCGTAGAATATGGAGATTATGAGTCGCCCTTGTGAATCCAAACCTAACTCCTCTTCTCGGTCTCTCTCTTCTGGTTGCCTTGTCATCTTTTCCAATCGATTCAATATCGAGCCCCAGCTCTCTTCCATTTCCTTGCTGAAATTTGTTGGCATTGCACTAAAATCGTTCCTTAGATACCAATTGATAGGATACCGCTTGAAAGAACAAGTTCAAATATTGAATGAGTGACTTTTTTATTAAAAAGGCGGACGATTACAGAAATTGAAGAACAATTCTAAGCATTCGATCTCTCCCCCTAGATCAACAACTAATTCTCAGCATGAATATCCCCAATCCCTCCACATTACATTTATAGGCAACTTATCACATCATTATTCTCCAAAATACCCCTGCCCTTATCTGAATCTATTTTAATTGAATAAGCTTCTCAATTCTTCTAGATCCTTCCACGTTGATAGGAGTCTATCACTTTTCCTTTCTATAATATCGAAATGTGCCAACTTTTTCCTTGTCTAAATTATGTTGCAGGGAGTGAGGGCTCTTTGGGAATTGTGACAAAGGTTTCCATACTTACCCCACCAAAGTTGTCATCTGTAAATCTAGCTTTTCTTGCTTGCGAAGATTATGCTAGCTGCCAGGTAAGCTCTGTTCTCTCTGAAATATCATCAGTTGTCATTAGATGTGAAATGTGTGTTTAAATCCACTCAGGATGTGACAGTATTAGAGCTGTCCCGTTTCCCACTGATCTATAGTTTTAGATCCCAAGTAGCTTATATTTACGGGACTTAGTTTATACTATTGTTAATTATTTGGTTACTGCATTTTTCTATATAATGCATATATATTATGTTAACAAATTACTATCACGTTATTATAACCATATGAATGCTTACTCTTTTCTGTGTAGAAACTTTTATTGGAAGCCAAGAGAAAGCTTGGGGAAATTCTTTCTGCATTTGAATTTTTGGATGTGAATGCTATGAATTTGGTAAGATTCTGTGGATGATGTAACCGTATTCAAACTCTATTCACAATCTTCTCAGTTATTAACATTGAGTAAAATTACACAACACCCGTTTCCATTGAAATATTATACAAAAGATTATTGATATTAGAATGGTGCATACTTTAAAAAAGGTTCAGATGCATTGTCATTTTTGAGTGGACCATGTACCACATTGGTGCCAAAAAATAAATTTCTTCATGCCTTCCCCTTAGTTTGATGCAACTTCATTCAGGATCAATTGTCAAGTGGTGCAACATTTTTTTTTTTTTTTTTTTTTTTGTGTGGAAGAGTTCGGCCTAAACTAATTAAAACCACTTTCCTAAAATTTTCTATTTTTCTTTGTTTTTTCTTCTTTATTCTTTTTCATTGGGTTGGGAGGGAGTAAGGTTGAAGCTTCGTCCTCATTACTGGCTACAGAGTCTTAGATGAATATATATATTGTAACAACCACACATGGGTTTTAGACTGTTGGAGCTCAAGTGTGAATTCTAGATTCTCCAGCAACGGGTTTTGAACCACTCCATTGGTGATATGATAAATTTACATTAATGAAAGATGAGTTTCCTTTTTTATGCTGAAAGTGCCATTCTGTACTTGAAATTTGTTTAAAAGTTAAAACAACATCATACTTAATAGTTAAAAATAGATTATGAGATGGTTGAATAGCAATTTTATTCCAGTGTAGAAAAATTATTAGGGTCAGAACCAAAGGGATGCATTCAAATGGTTGCTTCATGAGCAGAGAGATCTGTTTCATGTGTGGCTGGAGTAAACGGGGTATGATAAATGAGTCATGCACTGAAACTTCTGGATAAACTCTCGAATATTGGTCTCTTGGCAACACGAGACAATTTTACAAAGTGCTCTGAAAATGATATCTTACCATTGAATTCATATAATCATGCACAAGTGATGCCCCTACCCTCTGTCTTCTGATCTGGTGGTGCGTTGTTGTATTTTGAGAGTGACTTCTATTCAATGGGGACAAAGTTTGTGCAGTTAACAGTTCCCTTGAAACCAAAGCTGTTAGAGAATGAGCCAATGATGTACTATCACAACCACAAGGTTTTTATCATTGGTCAACTGTAAAACCTTCAGTTCGAAAGTCCTAAGATCGACCCCATTTCTCCAATCCCTTGGGGCCAATGCTTACATAATGTAATGCGTATTAATAGATGAACTCCCATTTATTTTGACTTGTCTACTTTGTACGATATTGGGAGGAAAGTTAACAATCAGACAACTAGGCCAACACAGAGTAAATTGTAACTGTCGCTAATGAAGATAACTGAGACTCCTAGATACAAAGCTGAAGTATGTGTAGGCTACGAAATTTTGTTGAACGTATCCAAGTAGAGAAGTAATATCAACAATGCAAATGGAGCAGGCTTTTCCTTTACCATGATTTTCATGTTTTTGTTGACTTCGGACACTTTGCTGAGAAGTTTGACTGATATTTTATATAGGATTGTGTATGCTATGACACAAGTTTGGTGACTAATATTTGTATAAATATAGGTAGATTCACTTTTGCACTTGGAAATGTAAGACTTAAGATTTAACATTTTGCTAATATGGCTGCATTTTGAAGTTATTAACATAATGTTGTAGTTCATGCGAAGGTCAGGTGAAGCTAGAGTTTTTGATGCCTAAGATACAACATTCTTTAAATTGTTTAGAATTTAGAAATGCATCTTGTGATTAATCTAGTGCTAAATCATGCATGTATTACTTCATTATACTTCTGAACAGGTTTTGAAACACTTAGATGGTCTTCGTGATCCATTATCCTCAATGCATAACTTCTATGTTCTCATTGAGACCACTGGCAGCATGGAGTCTCATGACAAGTAACCTTCTTCCAACTCGAAAGTAATAATCTTTATGTTATTTGGATTTGAAATGAATTTCTCCTGAATTTCTTCTAAATTTTATGATCAGAAACTAACAAAATAATAAGAAGGAATTTGTTAGAGAAGCTTCTTCATACACGCTTCATTTCGTTTGAATAATATGTTTATTTCTGCAGTTGTTATGACCTTAAACCGCCCCTTAAAAATGATAAATGGTATCTTTTTTGCAAATTTAATTTTCCCTGTGACCACATGACAGATTTACATAATACCAGTCACTTCGGCAGCATATCTTTAATGAAAATGAAAAAATGATCTGAAATAATATTCTTCTTATTTTGAGATCTGAATATACTCAAGGCATGTTCATGGTACCACTGTATCAGAACAAATCAGCTTTCTTGTGTTTCATTATGGTTGTTGATTTTTTAGTTAACCAAGATAGCCCCGCCGAGATTGTGATTACTAATTTTATGATGGCTTACACCAAATACTTGTGCGATTAATCCTACTTTCAAATTGTTTCTGATGGATTGAATTTCTTGATCTCTATTATTTTGAATCTACGTCCCCAGAGAGAAGCTTGAAGCCTTCCTTCTTCAGTCTATGGATAGTGGCTTAGTAACTGATGGAGTTCTAGCCCAAGATATTAATCAAACATCATCATTTTGGCATATCCGTGAGGTAATCACTAGCTATATTTTATATCTACATTCAGGATCTAGCATCCATCACCATTTATGTATTACTTCTAGTTTGGGAATAGATTTGAGATGTGACCCAATGCTTTTATCTACTGTGGCTTCTCCATTTGTTGTAAAATTATGCTAAACCTATTTAGTATCAATGATCTAAACTTATGAAACTCAAAAGATGGAAAATCCGTCATATTTCTTTTATCTTTACCCGAGTCATGTTTTTTGAACCATTCTCTTCGTACTGTTAGCCTTAACTACCTCCTCAAGCTGTAAGATTTTATGTTAATTTCAAGGACAGAAAGTGTCATTTGTTTGAATTTAGATGTTGACCAGATTCTAAGAGCTCTTCCAAACTATTAAATAAGTTCAACCTAATATTGGACCTTTAATAATTGAGTATTGCAAAGGACCTAGTTCATCATGACAGAACTAAGTAGCATGTAGAGATTGATTGTCACTTCATCAAAGAGGAGGAATAATGGAAATGACTATACTCCGACTTGCCTTCAGATTGCATATATTCTTACATAGGCTCTTCTAAGAACCAATCTTGACGACTTAGCCCCTATTTGGCCCGCATTAAAATTATAATTCATTTTTCTCTCTCTTTTAATCAACCACATATCCTCCAATGAAGTAATATTGCACGTAATTCCAAAAAATTTTCTTCTTTTTTAACCACACATTCTTCAAAAATACACTATTCCTTCCATTAAAATTTCAAATAATGGAGGCCAACCGTGGGCTTAATCACCAATCTAGGAATGATTAACATCTATGCCCTACCATGAGGGGGAGTGTGGAATTTCAATTCTAAATTCCTTATTTCTATTGCAATCTTTGATTGTACTCTTATTCGATATTAGTTACAGTTAATTTTGGTATAATAGGTTTTAAGAATTAATTGATTTACCAATTTTTGAAACAAGAAGAGTTACTCTTCATTGTATTCTTAATTTAATTTAGATAGATAAAAAATAAAGGGTCTTTTCTTTCTTCACTTACAATGGCAAGACATGCCCAATATAGAAATATGGAGGTCTATTAGCAAGTAGTGTTCAAGGAACTGACTTTAGAGTGCTTTTGAAGCTTATAAGCAGTTTTATCTCTTAGTTCACACACAATTTTATTCTTTTTGTTCAATATTTTTAAATGCTTATTAATATTATGAGTACACATGCAGTAAACACATATCTTATGCCATTAGATTTTCATCTTAAGATCTTACACTGTAGTCCTGTTGGGATATCACAAATGACAATAATATTCTTATTTCACCAACAGCTTCTTTGCAATTGTTATTGTATTGAAGATGTGGCTTTACGGTTAATAAGGTGATCTAGAACTAGTTAGGAATCTTAGATCTACAATATTTTGTTACGACACACTTTGATACACCTCATTAAATAGGCAAAGGAGTGGATGGTCATTCTATTTTATAGTGTTAAAAAAAATGAAATAATAATAATAAACAGAAATAATAGGACTTCTATAACAAATATCAAATGCAAACCCTCAAACTCGCTACAGCAAAAACACTATTAATAGAAACTTTATACTGGGAGGCCTTTGAATTTATTGAAGACTGGTACATTTATTGAAGAAATAATCAAACTTCTTACATTCCTTCTGCCGTCTTTCTTCACAATGATAAACTTTTGTGATTTCATTTTTGATGCTATAGGGTGTACCTGAAGCATTGATGAAAGCTGGGGCTGTATATAAATATGATTTGTCTCTGCCTCCTGAAAAAATGTATGAGCTTGTTGAGGAAATGCGCACACGTCTTGGTAACGACCTTACTTTTCTATATCACCTACTGCTTTCTTGGCTTAGTGGGATAGTCACTTTTTACTGAACCGTACTTCGATAGGTCTTGTTTTAGATGGGCCGTGTGCTGGTTCAGATGAAAAATTAGAGCATGTTTTACCAAAGTTTCAAATTTTTACTTATTATTAAATAAGTTATAAAATCCATTTTGGTCAAAGTTGGAAATAAGTTACTCATTTTGATTTTGAATGAAATAAGAGTTTCTCTAAAGCAAAGTAACTTGTTTACTTAAAACTAAGAAAAAGGTAAGTTACACAAACATATTTGGAAACAAAATTAACTTTTTACTTTTTTGTAAACATGGCCAGACATGCTCTTAGTTTACTTCATTTTACGAAGCATGACATGACTGTTTTGAGATGGCAAATTTAGTTCCTTTTACAATGTCATATATACTTGATGAAATGCCCCTTTTTGTTTTTTCAATCTCCAAATTGTGATTCTTGAATCTTGAGTATCATTTGTGGATAATCTCCAAAGCATTTTCTTAACCTTAATCAAAATCTCTAGGTTCTGCAGCAAATGTAGTGGCATATGGTCACCTTGGGGATGGAAACCTACATCTCAATATTTCAGCGCCGCAATACACTGATAGTGTAATAACTTCATTCCTAGTTCATTTATAATTTTTTGTCAACTCTGAATTGCATTAAATAAGAACATTGTTCCTTACAGATATTATCAAAGATTGAACCCTTTGTCTATGAGTGGACATCTAAGCACCGTGGGAGCATCAGTGCTGAACACGGCCTTGGGTTGATGAAAGCTGACAAAATTCATTACAGCAAATCTCCTGAATCTGTGAGGCTAACCTCATTGTCTGTTTGTTAATAATGAACATCTCATTCCAAATTTATGCTTTTCTTGAATTTCAGAACATTTTGTTAATAATGAAGGTCTCATCTTGCTTTGGATTGTTGAAAGCTGATAATTTTATTATATATTTATTAATTTTTTTTTCTGTCATTTAATGTATACTAATAACCCCAGTTTCAGCCTGAGTTCTAATAAAATGAAGTCTGAAGAGAAATGCCAACTTTCTTTAGTGTATGATAATATTTCTAAAGAGAGTGAATGAGAAATTTAAGTTTTATTTCTCGATGAATTCCTTACACCTTTTCACCCTAATTTGTAGTACAATAAGATTGAAAGAAAATGTGTGTCATCTCCTAATCAAGGAAATAATTTTTTCCTAATCTAATTACCATATATACAATGATTCCATAAAAATATTAATCTACAATAACGGGATTCCTCCACTCCCCCTCAAGTTGGATCGTAGATATTGATCATATCCAACTTGCAGATGAAATTTTCGAAATGCTATCTATTTAGTCCTTTAGTGAATACATTCGCTGTCTGTTCTTCAGTAGGAATATAGGTCGTGCAAATAGTTCCATCTTCAATTTTTTCTTTAATAAAGTGTCTGTTTACTTCTACATGTTTGGTATGATCTTGTTGAACTGAATTAAGTGAAGTATTGATCGCAGCTTTGTTGTCACAGTAGAGTTTGATCTGTAGTTTCATTGTAATTTGTAGTTTTCCCAAAAGTGTCCTTAACTATAGTCCTTCACATATTCTCTGAGCCGCTGCTCGAAATTCTGCTTCAGCTCTACTTCAAGCAACTACATTTTGTTTCTTACTTCTCCACGTTACCAAGTTTTCCCATACGAAGGAGCAATAACTTGTGGTTGATCTTCTATCTTCCTTGATCTTGCCCAATCAGCATCCGTGAATAATTCCCCTTTTCTTTTTTCAGTTTTCTTGAAAAACAATCTTTTGCCGGGACTACCTTTGAGATACCTCAGGATTCTATATACTGCTTCTAAATGAGCTTCTTTCGAAGAATGCATATGTTGACTCACCATACTAACTGCAAAAGCAATGTCTGGTCCGGTGTGTGATAGATAGATCAGTTTTCCAACTAGTTGCTGATACGCATTAGGGGCTGAGGCACCGATCATGTAAAAGTCTCCTGCCGAGCAAATTATTGAAGTTGGTTTTGAGTTGGCTGGTGATCCAGAAAAGGCTGCTGAACAGAGTGTCGAAGGAAGACAGCCATACCTGTCCTACTCAACTGATTTCTTCACATTGTCTATCTTCCTTCCAATTTCCATAGGAGTGTCATTTGGTTTACACCCAAGCATGCTAGTTTCAGTTAGAATATCTATGATGTATTTTCGTTGTGAAACACTAATACCTTTCCTTTATCTAGCTACTTCCATTCCCAGAAAATATCGCAGTTGTCTCAGATCGTTTACTTCAAATTCTGTGGCAACACTTAATTTTAGCCTTTCTACTTCAACCGTGTTGTCACCTGTGAGGATAATGTCATCAACATACACAATCAGAATGGTCTTTGTTCCATCTTCAAATATTTTGAAAAACATAGTGTGATCTGACTGCCCTTGACGATATCCCTGATTCTTTAACACATTTGCAAATCTGTCAAACCATGCTCTTGGTGATTGCTTGAGGCTGTATAGAAACTTTTTTAGTTTGCACACCTTTTTGTCTTCATTTCTTTTACAGAAACCTGGTGGTATTGTCATGTAAACTTCTTTCTCTAACTCCCCATTCAAAAATGCATTTTTAATGTCAAGCTGTTGGAGTGACCAATCCAAATTTACTGCTAGCGACAAGAGAACACGAATTGTATTCAACTTTGCTACCGGTATGAAGGTTTCTGTGTAATTTATTCCATAGGTTTGAGTGTATCATTTTGCAACTAGGCGGGCTTTATATCGTTCTACTGTCCCATTTGCTTCGTATTTCACATTAAATACCCATTTACATCCAACAGGTTTCTTCCCTTTTGGTAGTTCCATTATCTCCCACGTTTAATTTGCTTCCAATGCTCTCATTTCTTTCATCACTGCTTTTCTCCATTCTGGGGTTTCCAAAGCTTCTTGATGTTTCTTGGTATTTCTGTGCTGTCAAGGTTGGAGACAAAGGTTCGAAATCTTGAGGATAAAGTTTTATAAGCTATGAATTTTGAGATAGGGTGAAGGGTACATGATCGAGTGGACTTCCTGAGAGCAATAGGTAGGTCTATGTCAGATACTTCAGCAGGGGGCTCATAATAATCTGGAGCTATCATCGGTTCCTACTCTCTTGGTGCTTCGAGCGCGGGGTTTTCCTCCTTTGATTTTGGCCTTCGTGAGTAAACTTTTATCTCTTTGGCATGTTGCTTTTTCTGATCTCCCCCTAAATTTAAATTACAAATGGCATATTAGAACTAGAGTGTGATGATGTTATAGGTGGAGAAGGAGACGAAAGAGAGATTTCCAAGAATCGATCTTCACTTGATTTCTCCCCTTGAAGAGAGGATTTTTGGAAATAAGGACTTTCTTCGAAAAAGGTAACGTCGAGGCTAACCAATACCCTTTTTGTGTTTGGATCATAACATTTGTATCCCTTTTGAAGTAAACTATGACAGCAAAGCTTGTCTCCCTAAAAAATTGGTGGTGGATCTCATTCTTAAGATAATAGTTTGAGCTTTATTCTTGGAGACAGAACATATAGGAATTCCGATCTTGGGTTATTCTTGTTTTTGTAATCCACTTGTTTTTTTTACTTATCCATTTTCGATCAATGCCGTATACTTATAACAAAAATTGTTTTTAAAGAACAATCAAAATAAGTTAGTCAATATTTACAAAGGTAGCTTCAACTTTGACGGACAGAGTCTTTCAAGCTCAAGAATGGAGAGAAAATAGCTTCAACTTTGACGGACAGAGTCTTTCAAGCTCAAGAATGGAGAGAAAATAATGTTTATTGTTAACGCTTATACGATGTACTTATTTTGGGAGATAATAGATAATAACGAGATATTTTGCTCTATGCTTGAGAGATCTATGTATAAAAATTTTATTTCAGCATCTGAAAACAGTTTTTATTTTTTTATTTTTTGTATGCAGGTTCAACTAATGGCTGAAATTAAGAAGCTAATTGACCCCAACAGGATTCTCAACCCTTATAAAGTTCTTCCATCCTCTGTTTTGTCCCAAAGTTGAGGTGAGACTCAATCTTGAAATTTTGACTTGACATCTATTTTTAGCTACTTGATAGACTTTTATGAGGATTTCGAATTGAACTGATAAATGCGTAATATTGTCTTAAAAGTGTTCGCCAACATGGAAGAAACTACAGTTCCTTATTCTAAAATTGCGAGCGGCTGAGATAAGTTAAACCTTTGCTTCCTCACCTCTTTTGTGATCCTCCTTCAACTTGTGTTGAGCTTAATGCCTTCAATATTATGGTGGTTCAAGCATACATCGAAAAAATGATGTATATATAAAAACTTTATGTTCTTGCCTCAATGGCATGTAACATGTGTTTAGTTGTCGCCATTCTAAGTGATTGAGATTTTGCAATCATAAGTTCCATGGCCGTCTCCGGAAAGTTAAAATCTTCTAGCACTCTGTTACCTGTGCTAATCCATATCAAGATTGTTGTCTTCTTATCCAATGAATGGTAGTCTAGTGGCATATTTGATACACACGACTGGATGCAACAATTGACAAATCTTGTTCAGTTTAATGTTAGAGGCTTACCGCATGGCACTTATTTGTTTGTTTGGTTCCTTGTGCACGATAGCAACATTAAAATGAGTAAACTACCGTTTCTGTTGTTGGTCTAAGAATTCTTTCATTTGACAGATGGCCCAGAAAGAGAAGAATGTTCACGGGTATAGAAGACAATTTGAGACAATACGCGTTTGGAATCTGTAATTGGATCAGAATGTGAATTCGAGTAGCATTTTCTAAGCCTTAAAAATATGTATCATATAATGTAGGAAACACTTCGCTCGTAACTGCTTATAAATTGTTTCATAAAATTGTGCCATCAAATTCTGTACCAGAATATTCAGAGTGATTCACTACATTGTCTGAATAATTAACAAATCATAAATAGATTCAGGCAACTTAAAGTACCAAGCATCTATTTCTTTATGTGCAGTAATATTTTACTATTGTTTGGCGTACCCGTTAATTATAACCCTTGTAATGTCTTTGGGTTCTAACTTTTTCTTCAGTCACAACTTCTTGAACACACACAAATACTATCTTAAAGGCCCCACATTTCTCGCCATGATAATTTTTGAAAACACGATGTCTTCAATTTCTGGTCTAACCATTCACTCGAATCACCAGTCGACCAAGGTAAAAAATGGGACATCAACAGTAAACACATCGGATTCTACATAATCAACCAATTATTGCAACTAGTGCCATATGTTTCCCTTTTTCGCACTTAACATTACAAATTTCACTATGGTAATGCGACAAAAAGAATTTCAAAAGGAAGCCCTACACCAAAAAATTTAATCACCAGTCGACCAAGGTAAAAAATGGGACATCAACAGTAAACACATCGGATTCTACATAATCAACCAATTATTGCAACTAGTGCCATATGTTTCCCTTTTTCGCACTTAACATTACAAATTTCACTATGGTAATGCTACAAAAAGAATTTCAAAAGGAAGCCCTACACCAAAAAATTTAATCACCAGTCGACCAAGGTAAAAAATGGGACATCAACAGTAAACACATCGGATTCTACATAATCAACCAATTATTGCAACTAGTGCCATATGTTTCCCTTTTTCGCACTTAACATTACAAATTTCACTATGGTAATGCGACAAAAAGAATTTCAAAAGGAAGCCCTGATCCAAAAAAATTAATCACCAGTCGACCAAGGTAAAAAATGGGACATCAACAGTAAACACATCGGATTCTACATAATCAACCAATTATTGCAACTAGTGCCATATGTTTCCCTTTTTCGCACTTAACATTACAAATTTCACTATGGTAATGCGACAAAAAGAATTTCAAAAGGAAGCCCTACACCAAAAAATTTAATCACCAGTCGACCAAGGTAAAAAATGGGACATCAACAGTAAACATATCGGATTCTACATAATCAACCAATTATTGCAACTAGTGCCATATGTTTCCCTTTTTCGCACTTAACATTACAAATTTCACTATGGTAATGCTACAAAAAGAATTTCAAAAGGAAGCCCTACACCAAAAAATTTAATAAAAAGTAAAATCGTTAATCTTTCCTCCTGAATTTCAACGTATTTAATACATTCTCATACACTATAAATGTAATTGAAGCAGCTGGAGCATTTTTCAGCACATTTGCAGTGATACCCTTGTAGAAACCTCGTACACCCTCAAACCTGGGAGAGAGTGGAAAAAAGACGGTTTGTTGTGATTTAGGAAAATTATAGAACAGTAAAAATATGATCAAATTCTGTAATCAGTAATCGAAACAGCACAGTATTGCAAGGTTCGGTTATCACCCAAATTAAAAAATAAGTGACCTGTGAGTTTCTTGTGGATCCAAGTGTTTTAACTGCTAAAAATCGCGGTGTATAGTATAGCAAATGGATCCAAACGTGATAATCCAGTGAAATTTGTGAGGTAAAAGTTCATGCTCACCGTGCAGTATCCTTAACTACATGCAAACTATCCATGTATCTCGGAATCCCCTCGGTGCTTGGCCGTTGCTGCAAGAGGAAAAGGATAATAATTTATTTATTACAAAGATGAGAGAATCATTTACCAAATGAATCGCACTGGGAATCTCCTCGCTCCCTTAGATGAAAAGTTTGAACGAGAAAGCTGTGTACAAAGATAAATGGAAGAGGTGTTAAAATTTTCTTACCTGCAAGCGAGCTCGGATAACCTGATAGATGCCACCGAATCATGTTCATTAAAGAAAAAGAAGGAAGGTATTACTATCAAATTTATGAAGATGAAGTTTAGGCTAATAATTATAGGTCTTTATACAGCTATTTTGTGGTTATACTTACCTGAAATGGATACGTCGAAAGAATGGCAGCTAGTTTTGAAGAAGCCCCTAATATTGCATAATCAAATGAATCCTGCCAAGTGAACACAAAAGAGCTCTAAAACTATAACCAATAGCAGGACAAAGACCCTTTATAAAAAGAATGGCAGCTAGTTTTTCCAAAAGACAGGATGATCTGATTTTCTAAGACGAGATCAGACATTACACTGCTCCAAACAAATTTAACAAAGCTATGAGCTCGTATGTGTGAGAATGAATAAACAAGGTAGATGTTCCTGTGGCACAAAATAAGCATTGGTTTTTGGAGATTCACCAGTGAAGTGTCAGCAGTGATAGAATTTATCTCACTTCCGTCGGTCCTATAATTAATTGCAAATTTGCGAAGTTCCTCGTATGTTGTGAACTGAATAGCACCATGTGTAACCTGCTGAACAGCAACAAAACCGATAAGTTTCACAGTATTCCAAAATTCATGGTGAAACTTTATCCTCCCTCCTTAACATTGGTATTCTCAGCATTATAAAGAAATGAATAAGTAAAAAAGTCAAAGCACAACAAACATAAATGGCAGAACAAGTGGCATCCATTTAAAGGTTGAAGATAATGAGCTCAAATACTAGAATAAAAAATGATAAAACAGTCATAAGAGAAAAAAGACTAACCAGAAAAAGACCAGGCACCAGACCTTTGTAGAGTGCTCTCCATCCCTCTTCTTTCATTATGGTTCTTAAGGCGTCTGAAACCCCAAGAAATGAGAGGACCACACAGAGTTACTATAAATGGTTCAAAAAATAGTATAAAGCCTTAAAAGAATCATCAGACCAACATAACCCAAGAATAATAATGCTCGTCTAAGAACGCAAAAGAATCACAATCAGTAATTTGCCAATGTCTAAATCTGTTGATAGAATTAACACTCTATATGAAGATTGAAACATCCATCACCTAACAGCACATTCTGATGTCAAACTGTAAATCCAGCAATCGTCTCTGGCAGCTGGTTTGTGCCAACTGCTGGTGAAATAGAGCTGTTGGCAAGGGTTACTAACATTGCACCCAATTCACTCATGTCCATCCTCACCCAGACACAACAGTATCTTACGCAGGCACTAGTGAACTAAATGAACTAAGATCCATCGTTCAATGGCCTTGTTGGAATATAAGCAGCTAATTCAATCCTAAATCAAATTACGAGTTTTTTTTTATGCCAAGATACACCAGTGTTTAATTAGCTGACCAGCCTGTTAGATATTTGTGCCATCAGACCCAAGAGCTCTATGTTTTGCCTCATAACCCCACCAACCTCAAATGGGTACCGTATAAGGAATTCTTTAGTGTCTTCACAATAATTAGTACCAATTATGTTCACGCTGATATGAATGCAGACATGTATATAGATGGACAATAGATGCCCAATAACATACATATGAACGAGATAATGAGCTGAGAAGGCTGTTTAATGTGATAAAAATTAAGCCTAATCATATAATGCAAGATCTTTCTTTTCAATTTTCTATACAAGTTGATAACTGTAATCATATTAGAGTTTGACCCAGCAACTAGGAGAAAACAAGTGGTAACATGAACTAGAGAAGGGGTGTGCGTGTGGAGGGTATAGCATAACGTTGGGCATGTACTCTAAGCTAATGGTAATTGATAAATTCGACCCTCCACATTTTGTTTACATTTTTTTTTTTTTTTTTTTAACAAATTACTTGGTCAAAGGCTATTATGGAAAACATACCGGGTGGGGCAGCCATTGCCCACCATTTCCTCACAAAACATCCCCAGTTAGAAAAACAAAACAAATACATATTTGCTAACACTCAAAATTTATTTTTGTCACCCAAAATATTTTGGGGAAATACATGGAATTGACCCAAATAAAAGAGGTCATTTTTCAAATTAACCCTTGACTTTTCCAAACATTAGTAACTACCTAAAATACCCTTAAACAAATATTAAAAACAACCTATTTCATAATAAAAATCTTCTATCTAAGTTCTTAAAAAATTAACAAGTAACTTTTCTAAATATTTGAAAGAATTATTAGTTTTTATGAATAATAATAAAATGAAAAAATCCAAATATAAGAGAGGACCATATGATATAAAAAAGGTTGTTAAAAATAAAAAAGAAATTAAGTTTGAAAAAGAAATTGATAAGATAGGATATCAAGAACAATTATATGCATCATAAGAAATATTAAAATGTTTCAAAGAAAATTTATTAGAAAATTTTGCTAAAGGAATTGTAAGATCAATAATCATAAAAGATATACAGGATATCATAGAAAAATTAGAAAAAAAGAAGAAAAATATCTCAAAATACAATATATATTTTAGAACAGACATAGATATGATAACAGATATTGATATTATAAATTCTCAGACATTACTAGATTTTGAAGAATTACTTAAAAATTTATGAGAAAACCAATAAAAAATAGATTACCACAAGCATGCAAAAAAATTAGTTTTTATCCTTACCTTAAGATTTTATATACGCTTAATAACAAATAAATTAACTAAAACAAAAATAAAAGAATTTTTAGAATATTAGATTTTTAGATTTGTGATTATTAGATTATTAGATTTTTGTTCGTTCATAATAATACCCATCCCGTTGGTATCAGAATCATATAGATCATGGAAATTATAAAAATAAATAATTATTGTCAATGTATTGAAAAAAAAGGATGTTATATATTTTTCAACCCTATCCCTAATAAATTAAAAATAATAACATTATATTTAACTATGAATTTACCTAGAGAAATAAAGGAACAAATATTACATAAATTGATTATAAGATTTATCAAAGATAGACGTACGTATGAAATAATTATCGAAGTATTTGAAAATAAATTATACTATAGAGAAATATTTGAATCATCATAAAAATATAATGGAAGAAACTAAAAATATTTTAGAAAGAAAGTTAGGAAGAATAAGATTAATAAATAATAAAATTTTAGATTAATTATTAATACCTGGAGATATAACTAAAATTCAAGAAAAACAAATATTAAAATTAAAACAAGAAAGGTATAAAGAAAAAACAAAGTATTATGAAAAATTAAAAGAACTAACAAATATTAAAGTTATAAAACAAAAGTATGATAAAATGATAAGAGATTGTAAAAATGCTGAATATATAGCATTTTATTATTGTCAATCAAAAAATCGGTAAAAGAAAATGTCAATCAGTGAACATATGGAAGAATTAAAACATTTAATAAGAACGTTAATAAATGATGTACAAGAGAAATAAAAGAAGTAAGAAATAATATAAATATATTGAAACTTGAAGTCAGAAAATTAAAAGAAAATGAAGAAAAGAATAATAGAATAGATAAAAAATTTATAGAAAAAGAAATAACCAGAATAGGGAAAAAATATAATAATAGAAACAAGAAGCATGGATGATAAGTTTAGAAAAAATATATTACCTAAAATATTAGAAAAAGAGGAATCTAGAGAAAAAAATGTTAGGTAAAAAAAAATTGAAGAAAAAAAAGACTAAGAAAATGAATGAAGAATTGGATCTATTTGTAGATAATTTTGATCATTTAAGCTTAGAAAGTATAGATGATGAATACCAAATCTTAATGAATACTGGAGGAGGACCTAATCCCGTAGGAACTTCTAAACAATAATCAATAGATCCAGATGAAAGTTATGCTCGGATGTATAATAAACCATATAGACAATTTTATGATAAAACAAGAGAAAAACAACCGTCTAAAGGAAATAAATATAGTAATAGATTTGAATTAAATAATAATTATGATAAACCTGTTAACCATGGAGGAACAAAATTAGACTTAGATTGCAAAATAGATACTAAGAAAGCCTTAATAACTTGGGCAGACTCAATGATATTATTCTTTTTATATAATAAAAATGATACATGGGAAAATACTGAAAGAATAATAGATTTTTAATTGCATCTTTTGAAAGACATATTAGAAATTGGTGGGAAGGAATTAGTAGTGATACAAAATCATTAATAAAAAGAAATGTACAAAGAGAAATAATAAAGTCAGATAAACTAGGAATAGAAAGATTAGTAGAATATATTGCAGATGAATTCTTAGGAGAAAATTGGTTAAGAAATTACGAAGAAGAAGCAATACGAGAAAAGAATAATGCAAGAATTAAGCTAATTAATTTAACAATTTGCGATGTGTAAAATTAGAGAATATACTTGTGAATTCAAGGATTACTATTATACTCAATTTTATAGTAATGAGAATCAAGAAGTATATCAAGATATGTATTACAATAAATTACCAGGTTCATGGGGAATATATTTTAAAATAGAATTTGAAAAATATATTAAAAAAGATATAGGAATACCTAGAACATTAGGATCAAGAATAAAATTATTGTTTGAAATACTTGCATATATATATCAACAAAGACGATTATTGAAAAAATCAGAAAAATTAACTAGAATATGTTGTGAAGATATGAAAAAACCTACAAGATGGGAATGTAATTTTGAAAAAAGAAATAAAAGAAAGTATAAAAACAGAAAGTTTAAAAAATACAGAAACTTTAATAAAAAATACATAACGCCTGGAAGGAAATATTATAAAAGGAAAAATAATATACAGAAAAATAAACCTTATAAAAAAGATAAAAAAAAAAAAAACAATGTTAGTGTTGGAATTGTGAAGAAATAGGACATATAAGTCCTGATTGCACAAAAAAAAAAGTAAAAATATTACAAAATGATTATTTTGAAATAGAAAGTGAATTAAGTGAAATATTTGATATTGGACATTATAATAATCAGGAAATATTTATAAGTGAAGCAGATTCAGAAGATTATGGATCAGAATCTGAATAGAGAAATTGAAGAAATAGAAAATAATAACATATAAATCCAAAAATATGAGGGAATAGAAGTTTATGGATTAAAAGTAACTTTTGATAATAATAATAAATGTAAGAAAATACAAAAGTTATCCTTAGATTTGAAAATAGGAAAATGGGAAATTCTAGATAAAATATGGAGAAGAGAAAGAATAGCAATAAATGAATACCATAAGATTGAAAAAACTATAAATGTCAGGACTACTCAAGGAACACACAAAATAAACATTTTAACAAAAAGTACAGTATCAGAATTATTATTAAAAATAAGTAAAAAACATAGTGAAAAGATCCAATATGTTTATTTAGCAAGGATACAAATAATGTTTAAATTCTTATTTAGGGAAGGAATAGATTGACCATTAACTGTAAGTTTACATGATGGAAGAATTATAAATCTGGAAGATGGTCATTTAAGAACTATGGAAGGAAATTTAGTATATCAAAAGTTAATATTTACTTGTTACCCAAAATATTGTGTCTCATTAAAAGATAAAAACTTTAATGAACTCTTAAGATTACATTTCAAATTACATAGAAATGATATAATGGAACTAGGAGACCAAATTATGACTATAAAATATAGGGCATTACATACATTTACTAATTCTAATTATGAGAATATTTATTCCAATAAACCATACATAGAAATTCATAAGGAATGTAAGGATATTAGTAAAATAGTGGAACCAACCAAACAAATAAATCTTATTTAAGAAGAATATGAATTTAATATAACTAAAAATAAGCCTGAAATAATAGAATTAAGAGAAGAAGAAGATTATAAAATAACATTTCATAATGGAAGGTTGATAAAGAAATAAAAAAGTCTTAGACTACCTAATAAAAAAGAATATTTAGGAGAAACTAGTGGTATAAAAGAAATAAAATCTCATGAAAATATTGGAAATATGAAAATAAAAGGAAAATATTTCAACGGTAGAAGGTATATAAAAGGACCAAATATATTGATAGATACAGGAGCTGACAAATGTCATATGGCTGCAACTAAAAATGAAGGATTAATGACTTACAAAATAGAACCATGTGAATACAGGAATTTTGATGGACAACTATATATTACAGAATTAAAGGTAAAGGTACCAATAAAAATAGGAGGGATTGATCTTTTAGTACCATGTTATTTGAATGAAAGTATGAACATTGAACCTCATATATTATTAGGAATAAATTTCTTAAATGGATTAGAAGATTATAGTATAAAAAGAGAAGGGTTATATATAACTCATAAACCACGAACTACATTATGTAAAATAGGAAGTTGATGAATAATCAAATAAGTTTTCTATTAGCAATATATATACAAGTTACTATAGTAGAAACAAATATAACAACTCGTGCCTTAAGTGATACAAGAAGTGATATAACAATTTTTAAAAATTTCTTAATAAAATCATGGAATAAAAATAATAAAATAAAAATAACAGGAGTGACTGGAGAAAACACTCAAATAACAAGAGAATTTAGACCCTACAGAGTTCAGCCAGCCCAGCGTGGTGATAAATGGGAAAAACGACCAATAGTACAAGATTAACTAAAAAATAAAAAATTATTATATAAAAAGATCCTAAAAACAGAAATAGAGATAAGTATGGAAAAAATCATAGAACAATTAGAAAAAATTTATGGAGAAAACCCATTATTATTTTGGAAACCATTTCATCCTAGAGCTAAAATAGAATTAACAGAAAATGTTATAATAAGAGTTAGACCAATGATGTATACCTTACAAGATATGCAAGAATTTAAAATTCAAATAAAAGAACTATTAGAACAAAAGTTAATTAGACCCAGTAATGAACCTCATAGTAGTCCAGCTTTTATGGTTATGAAACATTCTGAGCAGATTAGAGGAAAAACTATAATGATAATAAACTATAAGGAATTAAATAAATATACGAAATTTGATGGTTACTTTTTACCAAATAAAGAAGTCCTAATAAACCTTGCAAAAGGAAAACAATATTATTCCAAATTTGATTGTAAATAGGGATTTTAGCAAATAAAAATGGAAGAAGACAGTATACAATATACAGTTTTTAGTACACCTCAAGGAAAATATGAATGGTTAGTTATGCCATTTGGTTTAAAAAATGCACCTCAAATATTTCGAAGGAAAATGGATAATATATTCAAAAAGTTTAGTGATTTTCTTATTGTTTATATAGATAATATACTAATATACTCTAATAATAAAAAAGAACATATGAATCATTTATTACAATTCATAAATGAATGCAAAAAGGAAGGAATTATACTTTCTAAAAAGAAATATATAATAGAAAAATAAGAAATAGATTTTCTAGGATTATCAATAGATAAAAAAGGAATAAAATTACAGACTTATATATCTAAAAAGATAGAAAGCTTTCCAAATGAATTAAAATCCAAAGAACAAATACAAAAATTTTTAGGATGTTTAAACTATACTGAAGGATTTATTGAAAATCTCTCAAAAAAGAGACATAAGATACAAATTCTACTTAGGAAAACAAATACTAAAGGTTGGAATAAAGAACATACTGAAATTGTTAAATCATTAAAAGAAGAATGTAAAAATTTACCAAAATTAAGGTTACCAGATGAAAAAGATAATCTAATTGTTAATACTGATACCTCGGATAAATATTGGACAGCTATATTAAAAACAGATTTAAATGAAATATGCAGATATTCAAGTGGAACTTTTAACCAAGCAAAAATAAATTATACTACTCATGAAAAAGAATTGTTAGCAATTATTAGAGGAATAAAAAAGTTTTCATTATTCCTTTTATCTAAAAAATTTATTGTTGAAATTGATAATTCTCAAGTTGCAGGATTTATTACAAATAAGTTACCTATGGAACCTCAATATAGAAGGTTATATAGATGGCAAGCATATTTATCATTCTACAATTTTGATATTGTTCATATTAAAGGAACAAATATTGCAGATTTTTTGAGCAGGAATATCGAATTTGGAGATAGATAATATCAAAAATTCATTAATAGACGTCAAAAGACGAATGGAATTCCTCATGGAAGAATCAGAAGATATAAAAATTGGAACTGAGCAATTAGAGCAAATGGTAGAATCTATCCAACAAAATGTCAAATTGCTGATGGAAATCTCTTATTCTCATTCCAAATATATCAAAGAATTGAATGATAGAATTGATGATATTACTTCACAATTCGAGTCATTAAATACCAAACAGGAAATACCAATAGATACAATCTCAAAAATACAAACAGGTACACAACCAGGAAGCAGCAGTGGACCCAACAATATCAAACGAGACATAGCAAGTCCCCGGAAGGTGACTATAAAACATGGTGATGAACATACAAGAGTTATCAGGATCAAAACTGATGAAGATGATGATACCCTTTTATCACCAAAAGAAGAAGAATATAAATCATTTGCTAAAATTGTTTATGAATTGGAAGAAAATGAATCATATTTTATTACATCAGGAGATCATGTTTATCCCAGATTAATAATTACCAAAGATGCAGACCCTTTTATGGTCAAAATGGCAGCGGATTATGGATTTCTGGATTTGATCTATCCAGGAAAAGATTTAAAAAAAATTGAAAAATTTGATGATATATTCAGAGCAGAAGTTTTAAAATTTGCTCAAGGGAGATCGATTTATATCAAATTTTATTCAATAAGTTCCGAGGTTGATGGAAGAATATACTATCCTGCTGAACATATTATCACAATTGGATATGTTGGCCGAGATTTTCAGATTGAAGTTGGCCGAAATAATAAACCATTGCCTAAAATCAATAAATCGTGGATAAAATCCCGAAGAGTTTTGGGGATAAAAGTTCTTTATAACATTGCAAAAACCTTATATGATAAAAAATTCAGATGCTTATGTCAATATGAAGGATTGACACTCCTTACGAATAATGAAAAAGAAAAATCTACTATTTTGAAAGAATATATCCAGAAATTTGATACTTATCAAATTAATGGAAGTCCTACAACAATCAAAGAATCATGCAGATTGAGGGAATGTCCCACATGCAGACAAAACTAAAAAGATTGATAAAAAATGAATGGAAGGGGACCTACCACTACCAAAGTATCCAGCCAGCTGCATATGGAGCCAAAGATGGAGAGACAATAATAGAGGAAAAGATACCCCTTTGATGAAAAAGCAAAAAACGCATGTGAAAATGTAGACTCCGGGAGGAAAACAATGGAGAGGCATGTGAGCCTTTTCAAATTCTGATGTATGCAATGATGTAATAGACCAATAATAGCAAGTTTGAGTCATGTATAAATAGAGGTCTTTAGGGGAAATAATGGATCATATCGAGTTAGAAACCATTCTCTTTCCTTAAACTTTCTTTAAAACCAGTTTTTCTGGAAACCCCCTTGTATACAATAGAAATTTTGTATAAATTATTATAGAAATAAAATTTCAATCTTTTGATATCAGAAAAATATGAGTTTCTAAACTTCATATCTTGTAGATTCTTAACAGATTGAAGAAGATAATTTCTTTCTTACTTTAACAAAGAAAGAATTTTCTCTACTTAAGATCTTTATTCTTAATTCTAAGAAAAGATACAGTGAGGGCAAGAAGTTGAAATAGCAAAATTTCCATTAAGGCAAAAGGCCGTTTGAGGGAGCAGTTTGTAGATTCAGAGCCTGAAGGTCACTCGATTATAAGAATACAGTTTAAAATCAAAAGTAAGGTAAAATTATTGTCTTTGTTAGATTTAGAAAGAATTCTTCTAATATCTTGAAAGAATCGTAGGGATTATTACTTATCATGGTTGCAAAAACTTATCTATCATGTTATTATTATAAAGCTTGTAAGGAATTATTTATATGATGCCAGATTATACAATTAAAAGATTAGATAATCTGTTAGAAAGACTATTAGAAAAAATAAAAAATATTTTTTCTCAACTAGAGACTATAGATTTATCATCTAAGGAATATGATAATCTTAAAGAATTATATGACAATTATATTACAAATTATGCTAATTTATTAGATCAAATGATAGAACTATATATTAAAATTCGAAATAAGAGAAATAGAAGAATTTTGGAACTATTCCAATAAATTAGGATATTTTGTGCAAAATATGGCAAGCCATTTCATTAAGGGTAATATAGACATTTTAGCAAGAATGAATAGTGATAGGCCATTCAGAAAATTCCCCGAAATAATTTTCGTTTTACTTTGGTTCCCATTTGCCAATAATGATTCATTGTATCACAAAATTTAACTTAGGGTATGTTTGATAAGCCAAAATTTTCCTTAAAAAATGGAAAATCAATTTCAACTTTCACTTTTGTATTGTTTAATAGCATTTTCCCCCTAAAATTCTATTTCCAAGTTTCTTGCCACATAAGTCATTTTCCAGGTTTTCCTTGAATTGTAATTCCAATTCCAGTCACTATAGCGTAATTTTTTTTTTCGTTTTTCTTGTTGGTAATGGAAACAAATTCTAAAAATTATTGTAAAAATTTTTTTCCTTTAGTTGACAATTTTCATGTAAAACAAAGTCAAACGAACATCAAAAGATAGATGATTTTCATGAGTTTTTTTTTTTTTGGCAAAGGAAATAAATTTCATCTTCAATACTAGTAAATTCTATTCATTTAATTGACAATTTTCATGTAAAACAAAGCCAAATGAACACCAAAAATCATTTTTATTTCAATATTTTCCACGTGAAAAATTATACTAATCAAACACAATAATTTACAATTCTCAGGAAAACAATTTCTAGACAATTTAATTCCATGAAATTTGTTTTCCATCCACCCAAATTCCACCTTCGCAATCAAACGGACCCTTATTTTCCTTGTAAACTCGCACTTTTAATATTAGACTAGATCATTCTATTCAAATACTATTTTTAACAAAGTATCATGTTATATTCAACACAACTTTCACAAGTCGAAACACATGATTATTGAAAAATCTAAAAAGCTTCATTAACCACGAAAATTTGTCTACCACATTAAACTTGCGATGAAATTGAATAACTAAAATGAAACACAATCTCTTTACCCATTTTGCATTTACTCATACATATTTTTTATTTTTTATTTTTAAATCCAATCCACTTATAAAAGTTTTGATGAAATTGAAATCACCAATATTACACTAACCATCTCACAAAATTGTTATTCTATGCATGAAAAACACTGTTATGGCCACGAAAATAAGAAAAAAAAAAGGTGATATTGTAGAAGATTAAAAAAATAACTGTAAATACCAACAATAATAAGTGGGTTTAAATTCATTCCGAGTCACTGAACTTTAAGGAAAGTTGAATCGTAAACTTTTAATTTGGTGTAATCAAGTCACCGGACAATCAACCATAACCCAGGGGAATTGACAAAATAACACACTAACCCAGTATAAGGAGGGAAAAAAGGGTACAATAACAGAATCACGAATCCTTTTAACATGGGAAACAAACTTTGATTCTTTCATGGTTAAGCATATTATCCTAAGATGATTTGATCACATCATGATGAAACTAACGAATTCAGCCATCCAAACTAGAAAAAGAAAACCGAAAGGGAAAATCTTTAAAGTACAATGGTTGTCTAGTGCTGAAAACTAGCAAATGGCTCTGAAAAAACAAAAAAGAGCTGATACATCCTTGAATTAATAGATCAATTAAGGAGCTCTGCAACGAAATGCATACAAATTGGGCATACAAATTGGATGTGATTCTTCCAAGTTATTTGAATATCTAAAATAGTTGCAGCATCATCAAAAGTGAAGACTGGCAATCCTTTGCTTGTAAAATTGCCCTTTGATTGTGTGTTGGCCACAGTGGTCTGTGATTGTTGTTATAGTAAAAATGGCTGGAAAAATATAGAGAATAACAAATTAGCTTGTAAACCAACAAAATATAGACAATAAATTATCAACTAGTAATGAATATATCGCAATATGCTCCATTTAGTCCCAATAAATCATGGCCTCCAACCAAAAGTTCAGGGACTTCACAGGCGACCCAAAAATATTGTAATTTACTTAAGTATGATGATAAGTTATACCATATGAACCTAGTTTATATCATCCCCAAAAACCAGTTTTCTTGTTATGCATTAAATCTTAATCCCGAACTCTGAGAGCAATGACAAATGAAAGGGAAACTTGAAAAGAACAAAGAACATGCACTGGTTCACCGTCTACGTCCTGTTGCCATTATAGATATTCCATTGCAATGAAGAAGGAGATTACAAGCTCTCCTCACACCACTTTCCTTTTCCTCTCACAGAAAAGTCGGTCCTCAAAATCCATTATATAACATAGGCATCTGCCCCTCTGCAACACCGTTTCGACCTTACTGCAGTTGAGGGGATAATGAAAGGTATACTTAAGCTACTGACAATCCAACATTTTTTGGGATGGGTCAGTAAAGAACAATGGACGGGAGTTGGAAGTGATCCTCAATCAGGTGGGTGCTCAATAGGGAAACAATTTTAAATATGCAAGCCCCGAGTAACATTGCACCCAAACATGATCCAAAGGATTGAGATAGTTCCGAGATAGAAAGTTTAAAAAAAAAAAAAAAAAGGGGCAATTAACCAAATTAAAATTACAATCTCTATAGTTAAACAGTAGGCGAAAAATCAGGCATGACCTATATTAGAGAGCACAAATTCCCAGTCCAAAAAGGGACTTTCGAGAAAGCCTACAAAAGCATTGGTGTAAGATCCACTTTTACTAGAAAGATAGAAATGAAGTCCCGACGATGCGTATTTCGAGATATTATGAACCCTTATCACATTCATAATGTATAAAGCAAACCACCTAGTCTTATCTTTCTAAGACTATCAAGGCATAACAAAAAGAATACCATAAATTGATTTTTCAATTATGGGATTCAAAGTAAATGCCAGAAACATATAGAGAGGGGGTGGCGTATGATAATTACAGAAGCAGTTAGAACATAATTCTAACAAGAATAAACAGCTGGACCTCCCTGATTTCCCACCTCCATAAAAAGGAAAAGGGTCCGCTAGTATTCCTGCTGCTATGTTGGTGAATTCTAGCTTTCCAACAAGTACAAAAAAATTTTAAGCAGTTCCCCAACAAGTAAAAATAAAAAAATAAAAAATTAGGGTATTATGATCCTGTTTTTACCTGAATCCTCCTAAATGCGGGAAATTCTAACCTGAACGTCAAAACTATACTTCGGAAAAGAAATTAAGAAAAGGAAACATGAATAAGGTGTTCTTCATCGGACTAATTTCCTTCTAATTAACCTAAACTTCTGATTATCAGTTTACAAGTCAAAAATAGATTTTTCTCTCCTCCATCTATTGCACCCATTTTTCAAACTTACACACACAACCGAAGCATTGCAATGTGTCTAATCATTTTTGTTTGAATGAATATACATTTTATTTCAGACAAAAGTATGTTAATAGGATGTATCTCAGAGACACATAAATAGCACAAGTACAAGTACAAACAAACACAGAGAAACAAAGACAAAGAAAGTGTTAACATATTGAATTTGGGCATTATGTCTTGCAAAGCATCCAAAATAATATATTTTAAAACTGGGTTCAAAACCGTTCATGTCTCTCCACTTAGCAAGAATGTTGACTTGAGAAGGAATAACACAAACACGGTCTATGTCTATGACTGATGTTGCGTGATTGCCCAGCACCTTTCCAATAGCATATGTTTTTGTTTCAAGATCAAAATTTTTAGTTGCAAAAATAAACAAGGCCTAGTTGTTAAGACATTTATAACCTTTCAATTTTAGATGGATGGTAAACAATAAAAACCACGAATTAATGGCAAAACACTAATTGAGAATCTTTGACCTAATTTTATACCCGATCACAGCACTCAAACATTTGGTCTCAACCTCATATATTGTTCCAAGTTTTTCAGTAAGATACCATTGCATAGAGGTTCAATTCAATGCAATTACAAAATGTCAATATAATCAATTCATTCAGCTGCATTTTCATCTTATAGATTCAGATTCATGGCAGCTAGCAACCAATTTAGTAAATTACCTCACTCCATTATGACTTTAGCCCCGACTCCCTTCATCTTCTCAATAATCTTGTCAGCTTCCTCTTTGGGAACCCCCTTCTTTAACAACGTTGGCGCCTTCTCCACGAGTTCCTTGGCTTCCTTCAACCCCAAATCCGTGCACGCCCGCACTTCCTTAATAATCTTGATCTTGGCGGCTGCATCAAATCCCCCCTCGAGCTTCAAATCAAACGATGTCTTCTCTTTCTTCTCCTCCTCCTTCGGACCAGCCCCACCGGCCTTCCCCTTTGGCCCTGCCATTCCTGGGCCAAACCCCATCCCAGGCATCATCACCGCCATCATGGGCATTTCTTCAATCCCCATTTTCTTCCTCAAAACTTCCGTCAAATCTGATATTTCCAGCAATGTCAACCCGGAAATCTCATCTACTATAGCTGATACTTTCTCCGAGCTACCCGCCTTCGGTTCCTGCGCCGAAGCAGCAAATTTGCGTATAAAATTCGAGAATTTTGATGGGCTTTCATAATGGATTCTGGAGATTATACTCCGTTTGGAGAGGCTTGAGAGGGTTTGAGAAATGAGTCGAGAGCCGTAGTGTGTCATTTCTGAAGAAACGTTCGAAATATATATTAGATGATAGCAACAAAAGTAGAGCTATTGATGTGATGAATGGGAGGTGATGGTACGGTGGGCACCTATACTTTCCTGCGGCGGTGAGTGGAGGGCTACCACGAGTTCTGTCATCAGATTCTTAACCCTCGGCTCCCCTTTTGTTATGTGACTTGATGGGGTTTAAGCATTTTCCAAACCTTTTATTTATTTATTATTAGTGGTATTATTATTTTCAATTTCGCGTAATTATAATTTTACTAAAATGTCAATTGATTTTTTTTAATTCAAATATTATATAGATAATTGCACTTCTGATAAAGAATAATGGAGTTAATAAATGTTTCATTGCCCACTAAATTTTATACCATATCACGATTTACTCACCGAACTTCATCAATTGTTCTAGTGGCTATTGAAATTTGCTCCGTCTATCTCCATCACTCACTTAATGACAACTGTAAGTAAACGGTCTTGCGTGGACAACGAAAAACCCAGCTGGCCGGTTAAATCCTTCCATGTAGTGTTGTCAAGTGCCAACGCATCTTCCACATCAGCGAAACTCGCTCCTAAACATGGCTTTAACCTCAAACGACTTCACCTCCACCATACACGACTTAACAGGCCTCCATTTTATCCGAGTCGTGCAAATTTTCTGAGTTTATCTTCCCTACCAGCTCAGATCATGAAGAACCCTAGGCATCTTCCCCAGATTGTTTGATCCACAACGGCACCTTAAGAACCCTAAACCCCCAGAAATCGACGATTCACGAGTGATGTGAGAAAATGTTCGGACATTGTTCTTACTTACAATGCCCAATTTTCAATCAGTAGCCCTAGCCCCCCAAAAATCGAGTGGCGAAGAATTAAATAACGACTCCACCATTAAGCTACAATCTCGAAGGCGTGCATATGGGAGTTTTAGATGAAGGTAATGTCGCAATGTTTGTGGGATTATTCGACTGATCTAATATTTGCCTGGCAACTACGAGGTTGGTCTTGCCTGAAGGTCAAATATCATTTTGCTTGGGAAATATTCTTTATGTTAAGACTTGAAACAGCTATCAGAAAAAAATGTAGATTATGCATTAAAGTTTGATGAACATGTATAATTAGTTTTTCTAACATTTTTTTAGAATATTAAACACTACATTTAGATAAAATCCATGATTAGTATGGAACCTGTATATTATAATTTTTGTGTGGTCTCACTTAAATTGAATGGTATGGTCCTGTAGTGAGTTGGTCCAATTTCGAGTTCATTACACCATCGATGTAAATATTGAATATCTTCAATGTAAATATTTGCTTCTTCATAGTTACTGTCCAAATGTTAATGCATTCTCATTTTATGACAAAGTATGTGGATGATCCAAATGGATTCTGATAATGATTTCGAGTCTGATCAAGACGATATGGAATATGATAGAAATATCATCGATGGGATTGAAATGGGATTTGCTGATTGTGGAGATCAAGTTTCGGTTGATCGGGAAGATGTGAATGATATGGAGATAGATGATTTGGAAATCCATTGTCAGAGGAACTACTATCCCAATGTTCATCTGATGAGGATGGTGGGCATAAATTTCATGAATTTTTGTTCAATTCGGACACGAAGGACCCACATTTTGATGTGGGGCAAATTTTCTGTTTCGCTACAGAGTTCCGAGAGTCAGTTGGACCTACAATGCATTAAATAAGTATAATGTAAAGTTCAGGCGAATGAGCGAAGTAGGGAACATGCCATATGCACACTGAGATGTAAATGGAGGATTTGGGCTTCAAAGATGGATGTGTCAGAGAGGTTGCAAGTGATATCTTACACCTTGGAGCATAGTTGTAGCCGGTCCAATTTAATAGACATTGCAACTACATACTTTTGACGAATCGATATTAAACAGTTCAAAGCGGACCACAACTAGAAGATTGAGCTCATTTTGGCCACAGTGAATAAGGATTTGTGCACAGATATTAGTAGGAATGTGGCATGGAAGATGCGGAGATATGCCAAAGAACCTTCGATCGGGACTTGGCAAGAGCAGTTATGCAGTTGCACTCTTATGCAGTCGAGGTACTACGTACAAACGCGGACTCGACGGTCATTATAGCATTATAGGAGCAAGTTTTCTAGGGCACGTACATCTGCTTTAATTGTTGGAAGATTGGTTTCAGGAATGGTTGTAGGAAGGTGGTTGGAGTTGATGTTCACTTAAGGAGTTGTTTCGGAGGGATCATGTTAACTGCAGTTGGATTTGATGCTTATGACTACATCTGTCCTATCGCATATGCAGTTGTCCAAAAAGAAAATACACCAACTTGGCTATGGTCTTTAACCTATCTTTCAGAAGATATTAGAATTGGACATATTATAGGTTGAACCTTGATGAGGGACTGACAGAAGGGTTTACAAAATGTGATAGCTGAATTGTTTCCCGAGGCCGAGCATAGATTCTGTGTATGGTATATGTACATGAACTTTTTCAATACTGGGTACAAGTAAAAAATTCTTAAGAATCACTTATGGCGTGCTGCCAAGTCGACCATAATTGCTGACTACAGACATTGGATGCTGCAAATTCGTCGACTTAGTGAGGAAGGATAAAATTGGCTAATGGAAAGTAATCCATATGAATGGAGGAGATCACATTTCTCGGTTCACTCAAAGAGCGACATATTACTGAATAATTTATGCGAAGTGATTAGCAAAACTTAATGAAGTGAAAGGGAGAATATGATTCTATCAGTGCTTACCTCACTTCAATTAGCCTTCATGACTGGGATTCGGAAGTGTCGAAACATGATGATGCATGACGTTTGTGTCTGAAGATTAAGAAAAAATTAGATAAGATTGTTGAGAAATCGCGTGAATGCTTGTTGCATTTGTCTGGGGGGCTAAATGGCAAGTTGATTGTAGTTTTGGGACATATGTTGTTGACCTACAAGAGAGAACTTGTACATGTAGAGAGTGAGAGTTTACGGGCATACCTTGCATGCATGCTGTGGCAGTTATTAGAGAATGTAGAAATGATTCGGAGGAGTTCGTTGATAACTGCTACACGATAAAGACATAGATGAGATGTTATAATAGTGTCACGAACCCAATTGACGGTATGCGATTATGGCTACAGTTGGATATGCTTGCTATCACTCCACCATTGTGGATAGTTCCGCAAAAGGGAAGGAGGCAAGTAAATAGGAAAAAAGGGGCAGACGAAGAGGTGATAGTACATTCAAGGAAGAAAACCTACATTCAGAGAAAGGGACGATTGCAGATTACATGCTCAACTTGTGGGAGGAAATCTCCCCAATGGTTACTGAACTTTGCAGAAAATCCCCTAGGAGATCACTGAACTTCAATACGTCCGTAAATGGTCACTGCACTTTTCTGAAGTCCCCCCAAGAGGTCACCGAATTTCAAAACGTTCCTGGATAGTCACTGAACTTTGCCGAAATTCCCTAGAGAGGTCACTTAACGTTGCAAATTGGGACCCCATACATAACTAATTTAGTGACCTCCTAAGAACTTTTTGTAAAGTTCAGTGACCATCCAGGAACATTTTGAAGTTCGATGACCTCTTGGGGGGACTTGGAAAAGTTCAGTGACCATTTAGAGACGTATTGAAATTTGGTAACCTTCTAGATAATTTTTTGCAAAGTTCAGTGACCATTGGGGGAGGTTTCCTCCAACTCGTGGCTTACATGATCACAACAAAACAATATCATTTACAAAAAGATGCCTTGTTCGATGTTAGTATTACCTTTTTTTTCCTTTTTTTATGCCATGAACTGAGATATATTTTATTTTCTAATGCTATTTGTCTTCCCGACAGGATTGGTTCGAAGGGGAATAAGAAGTGGTTGGAAGTGGATGCAACACAGTCGTGGATGTACAAATAAGTACATGTCGAATTCAATTTTTTATACTTCTACATATTGGCTGGAAAGTGTGACTAATAATTGATTACGGTTTATGCGTAAGGGTAAAATAAATGGTTGCACAAAAATATATAGTAGAGCATGAATCACGGCCAGGAAGTGTTTGAGCTGGACCAACAGTAACGGTTGGTAAATCAAACGGGTGACCATCAAAGTTCACATGATAAATGTGAACTTTGACGATTGACGACTAGCATGACATAACAGAACTGGAAATCAGGCAAATTAGGGACGACTAGGGCTTGAGCACGTCGTAGGGTGAAATTTGCGAAATCAAAAGATGCCTAACGACATCAATTATCTTCTTGTTTTTTGGGCATGACAGATAGATAGGACTTTTTGTGCTTGGAGCATATGGCGGGTTATTATCCTTTTTGTCTTTGGTGTACACGTTTTGGGCAATGTAGCTAAAAATTATCTTGTACACAAGATGAAATATGCACAACGGTCTAGTGTCCATGTTTTTTAGTACTCTAGTTGGAAATTGTCTTGTACGCATATGAAATATGCATAGCAGAACACTACAATTTGTTTCATAATCTTTCTGCAAAACACTACATTATGTTTTGTTCTGTTAAGTTTGAAATGTGTATGTTAATCTTTCTGATATTGTATTGTTTATAGATTCAAAAACTTAAAGGTTGTTAATCTGAGGTGCTATGAATTCGGAATTTGATACTATGGATTATGGAGTTAATGGTCTTAAAAAGCGTCTCTAGAGAAGCTATTTAATGATGTGACATGGATTGCATTTTCTTTCTTTTCACCTGATTCATTGCTGGACTTCTGGGCAATCCTTCAACCTTTTATCAATTAACTGGAGTCCATCTAACTGAATAAAAAGATCGAGGCACTCCTTGTTCTCAGTGGCAGCTATAGTTCTTGCAACACAGACCACTGCTTAGTTGATCATCAACATTCATTATACAATCTCTATCTTTTTGCATGACAGCAAGAAGTTCCCTGACCCAAGAAGGGGCTGTAAGCCCGTCATTCATCTTAGTCAAAGTGAAAAAATCGCTAGGTGACATAATTTCTCAAGAGTTAAAAGTTCGGCATGCTATTTCATTTCCTTGTATCGCACTTGAGAATCCATTGCAAACCATGATACTAAATAAAGATTATAAGCATAGTTATTCTGGAATTCTTAACAACCAATTCAAGAAAGTTTAGGGTTCCAAGCCTAGGACAGAAAAAAAATGGAGCAAAAACAATTCAAATAATACTTGATGCCTGTCTTTCTCGCTCTTGCTATCTGAGTGGTGGGTGCCTGGAAGTATCAACCACCAGATGAAAGAAAAGCAACTAAATTAGAGGTTGAGAAATCGCTAAACATAAAATCTAGATGAGAATTATGTTAAACTATCAATTCTTAGGAATTAATAGAAGCCCACATTCATATCAAACAACATCGACGTTTCATAGGAGATTGAAACTAGACACTTCAAATTACATACACAACATTAAGTTACTGGGATTCACATAATTCCTAGTTTTGATGCCTACAAACAAATTGACACATAAGCCATTCATTTTCACGGAGCTCCTCCATTTAGTTACACGTTATGTGTTTCTCCTTTTCCCTTGAGAAAAGTAAATTTCACAGAAATATCAACATCCTTTTCTCTAGCTATTTTAGCAACATTCTTCAGCAAGCTTGATAACTCCAATTCATTCGACATAGCACTTGACTCTACCTGAAATTGGCAAAGTTTGTATTCGTCGAGCCACTTGAAATAACTGCAGTCATTCGTACAACAAAAGAATAGCCAACCTAAGTTTTCAACATCCATAGATTTCTCAATTCCCTTGCCACATACCAAGCACGGTCTCTTTATGCGACAATCCAATAGGTAGTGGCCCGACTTCCCGCAACCACAACAAATCCCCTTGTTCTTTCCTACCATTAAAATATGCTATTGCAACAACAATAATTTTAGCATATTTATCATACTTAATCCATTTATTCTTCTACAAGTATTATAAAATCAAGAGTATCCAAAGAACATGACATTTAATGATATGTCAACCAATTTCTAAACCACTCAATTTCCATTTTCGCATTTTGCAAAATAAGAGATTTAGTGGCCAATGTATTACCTGATTAGGAATACAGACGTCAACTTCAAATAATTGAATGGGTTGTTGAAGACTCCGTGTGAGATTCTCTTGAAATCAATTTCAAGACGTTAGGGTTCTTAAGGTGAACATAGGGCTCTTCACAGATTTAGAAGTTGCTCCGATTTCGGGAAGGAGATGTCTACAGCGTAAATGTCTTTTTCTCTTCATTTTCAATCTGAAACACGATTTCATTAATTGTAAAAGCCATGTTTGGGAGTGAGTTTCCTTGACGTGGAAGATGCGTTGGCACTTGACAACACCACGTGGAAGGGTTTAACCAGCTAGTTGGGTTTTTTGTCGTCCACGCAAGATCGTTTATTTACAATTGTTATTAAGTGAGTGATGGAGATGGATGGAGCTAAGTTCAAGTGGCCACCGGGACAATCGATAAAGTTTAGTAAGTAAATCATGACATAGTATAAAGTTTAGTGGCCAATAAAACATTTAACTCAGAATAATGCTATTTGTATAGAAAAAAATTATATAATGATTTATATAGAGATAAGATGTTAAAGAGGGAGAGAATTACTATTATTTTTTTTTTTGTTGAAGAAATTTTCATTTAATCATATCTTAGTGCATCACGTATATGTAAATATTCAAATTCTATGGCCACAATAATAAAATTTAGTCGCTACTTATGTGTATTCTATAAGCTTTGAAGTCTTATTTATAAGCGTTGATCATTGTGACAATTATAACCATGCATTATTGATTGAGTAGTTAAACAACATTTAGGGGCGGATTCAGGCATGGGCTGGCCTGGACTTTAGCCCGTGTTCGCTGAAGCCCAGATCCATGTAGTTTACATATTTTTTAGTTGCGCCCATTTCATTTGGTTGAGCAGCCTATATCCAACTCTAAAAAAAAAAAAAAAGGAATGAGACCTGACCCAACTCCATTTTTTTAGCCCAAACAAAATTTAAATTTCAATACCGCATATAAACCAAACCCAAACCGAAATCCAGTTCCTCCATTTCTAACTCATTCTAACCCATTGGCTTGGACTCATTCTAACCCATTGGTTTCCTCCCAAAACTTGAAACTCCTCCATTGGACCACAGCTCCATGCTCTATCTTCAATATGTATTTTCGATTTTGCCATTTTGGAATTTAGTTTCTTGTATTTTGTAACTTCGACCATTTTTTTTTCATATATCTTTAGTATTTAATATGGATTATTGAGATTTGAGAGTGGGTTCTATTTGAGAAATTGAATAAAAAATTTCTAGGAGTTTTTATGGATATTTTCATGTTAAATTTGTGTATAAAATAACACCTATTTATAATCCCTCGACGGTTCGTCCAATCTTTCCATAATACTAGAGTGGCCGAGTGAGGACAGGGGTGTTATTTTTATGTTTTATTAAAGTGACGTTGAGCACAACGCTGTATTTAGGTAGACTTGGCTTGGGTGAAAATGTGTTCAAAAACAGCCCAAAAACGATGCATCTTTATTCTTTTAATTTGTATGATAAAGAATTGCTGATTATTTTGTCTTAGGGCCTATTGCTAGTTTTATATTTTACTAATATTATGAACCTCAGTTAGAAGAGTGGACAAAAAAGTTTAATCTAAATTCTAATGCGGAATTATTGTTCATTGTCAAAAGGCTTATTTGTCAAGTGTAAGCAAGCTTAATTCTGCAGACACATAGGAAAAGCAAAAACTTCAATATACCTTAGTAAGTAAATGTCCCCATCTATCTTCTACTTATTGCCTTGCCAGCAAAATATTAAATTGAATATTGTCACCTATTTGTCTATGTTCTCTTGCCGGCTTAATGATTGTTGTTATTGTCTGGTCGGCCTAATGAATTATTTTTGTTGCTTTGTAAGCTTAATAAATTATATTTTGATTATCATTAGAGCAATATCATTGATTTTTTTTATTTTTTACTTTTTTTTTGCGATTTTAAGAAATTGAAAATGAAAGGTCAACTACCTCTCAAGAAAAATAAGAATTATTTTCCTTCCTATAAAGGGCAGATCAACCTACAGAAAGTACAACTTCTGATGGATTAACTGAAGATCAACCTTTATTTCCACTAGAAGTCAACAATCATCCTCAAATATTAGCATTAAACGGGAACCGAGAAAAAGAAAGCAAATACTTGAATTTCCTTTCCATTAGCAAGATGAAATTAGAGTGACATATCTAAAAGCTGAACTTTATCAACCAAAACTTGTTGAGTATCCAAAGACAAAAGGAAAATCTCAATCTCATCACTTTTTATTGTTATCTTTTTCAGAATGATGGAATCCGTCCAATTGTTCGGCACTGGTAACTTCTGGATATAACCAATGGAAAAGGGTAAATAATGGATCAAAATGTGCGTTTCTTACACATTTGTGATAATCAGGTCATAATATGTGTGAGAGAAGAGCAAAATATTTAATTAAACCGTCTCAACATATTGATAAAGTGATGTATACCGTATCGAATTTAGAAGTTGATAAACGTCGTTTACACTTAAAGACTTAAATTCGAAGTACTCGATGGCTAGCATTTCAAAGTTTACTTCAGAGGTCATGATGAATCTCCATCTTCATTGAATCGCGAAAATTTACTTGAAACGATAAAATTTTCGACAAAAACGAATACAAAAATTGATCAAGTTGTTTTGAAGAATGCTCCAAAAAATGCCCAATACATTGCTCCGAGCAAAAAAATCTTACATATAATAGCGAATAGAGTAAGAACGATGATTCGTGAAAAAATCGGGGATAGATACTTTTATATTCTTGTAGATGAAGCATAAGATACATCTAAGAGAGAACAAAATGGCCATTATTTTGAGGTTTGTGAATCGTCAGGGTATTTTGATGGAACGTTACTTTGCTATCAAAAGCATCAGTGACACTATGTCATCACATCTAAAAACCGAGATTTTAAGAATTCTTGCTCAACATGAACTTCAGGTGGCAAAAATGAGAGGCCAAGGATATGATGTTGCAAGTAATATGCGGGGCATTTGGAATGGACTCCAGGCATTATTTCTTAGAGATTGTCCGTATGCCTATTATGTCCATTTTTTTGCTCATCGATTACAATTGGTATTGGTTTATGCAGCTAAAGAAGTTGACATTATTTGGGAGTTCTTTTCTCGTTTAGACAATATTGTCAAAATTATCATTTCTTCTCCTAAGCGCATTACAGAGTTACATTCTGTTCAAAGAAATGAAATTGAATATATGTTAGCTACTGGGAAGTGTGAGTCGGGAAGAGGAGCAAATCATGTGGATAATTCACAACGATCAGGAGCAACTTGTTGGAATTCTCATTATGACTCTATAAAGAGTTTGATAGATATGTACAATGCAACTTGTAAAAGTGTTTGAAAATCTTAACGTCTATTGTCCAAATGGAAGATCCAGGGGCGAAGTTTGTGACATTTACAAACATAAGAAAATTTTGATTTTGTGTTCAATTTGCATCTAATACATAACATCTTGAGATTAACCGATACTCTTTGTCAAACCTGCAAAAGAAATCTTTAGACATCTTGGTTGCTATGAGATTTGTTTTCACTACAACAAAACTCCTTAAAAAAATGAGAAATGATGATTGGGAAGAATTTCTTCAAGAAGTGAATTTTTTTTTTGCTTAAAACATGATGTTGAGATATCTGACCTAGAAAGTTTGGATAAGGTTGGTTTTTGTTGTTCTCGTGATCAAATTACAACGGAGCATCATTATCACTTTGATGTTTTTAATGAAATAATAGATTTCGTACTGATGAAATTAAATACAAGATTTAATGACACATCAGTTGAACTTCTTATACTTAGTGTAGCTTTAAATTCTTTTGAATCATTTAGCATTCATGATATGTGTATACTTGCTAAAAAATTCTATCCTAAAGATTTTTCAAAGCAAGATATTCGTACTTTGGAATATGAGTTGAAACATTTTGAGCTAGCTATGAAGAGTGAATTTCGATTTCAAGTATCTACACTTGTTGAGTTATGTCGACAGTTAACTGAGAGTGGCAATTCGAAGACTTATATTATGGTTACTCGATTGATTTGTTTTGTACTGACTTGTTTCTACAGCGACTACTGAGCAAGCATTTTCAGCAATAAAATACGTGAAGACGGATCTTCGTAATAAAATGGAGGATGACTTTTTTGCTGATTGTATGACACTCTTCATTGAATGAGAACTTGCTCAAAGGAAAGATATATATTCTATTGTAGATGAATTTTATGTTTCGAAACCTCGTCGGGAACAACTTTAAATTAAATGAATTGTACTTTAATTTATATATGAATGTACTATATCAACTTTTAAATTTTATCCTGCGCCAAAAATTCCTGAATCCGCCCCTGACGATATTGTACCTCAGTAACACAGTAACACTACTATGTTCGTAGTGATTAGTACAATGATTTTCTCTGGATTTGATGTTGAGCTTGATTTCGGGGATCCAAATTCATATTTGGACAAAAAAAAGCTTATTGTGAAAGTGGAGACTTACAATTTAATTTGATATCAAGATATGTTGAGCTCCATGAGTTTATGCTTATCCCAATCAATATAGTCTATGTTTCACTTATGTTTATAAATAAATCATAAAAAGATTTTATATTCAAATTTTGTGGCATCCACAATTAATATTAATTTATTCATCACTCATTTATATTTATTTATAATACAAACTCTTTATAAATAACTTCCAAGTATGTTTATGAATAGTTCGGATGTAAATGGCCATTTTAGTAAAATTTGGACCAATATCCTCTAAAAATAAACCTAGGTTTCAAGTAAATTCTTATTAAGAGTTGGGCCGAGATAACCCTGAAAAGTAACCGAATTTCAATTAATCCCTTCAAGAAATATCAATAATTTGGTTGGTTTTTATCTACTCAAGATCAACTACTTTATGAAAGTAAGCTAAAATAATCTAACGGTGGCTTTGGAGATTGATTCAAATTGTAAAATGTATTAAAAATTCAATTCACCAATTTAATCCCTTTTAATTATTCAATAATTCATGCAATTTGTGAATAACTAGTAATCTTAGTCTAACAATCTCTCCTAAGCTCAACCATAAAAAAAAAGTAAATTTTTGATAAACAGGATTGATAGTAAACTGATTCTCATTTGTGATGGACACAAGATTCCAAAAATAAAGAGTATAGTGGTTGTTTGAGGGAGCCAAAGCACCCACATAATATAGTTAAGTGAATAATGGAAAGAGAATCAATGCCCCTTGGAATGGATGGTGGAGATTAAGTACCCTTTGTTACTCATTATTTGAGATTATAATTTTTAGATGGTGATTTTTATTATTTTACTTTTTTTGAAAAATATGTGGTTAAACAAGAATAAAAAGTTTTGTATTTACGCATAATATTATTTTATTAGAGCATACTTGATAAAAAGAGAGAAAAATAAATTATTCTTTTAATGAAAATCAAATGGGAGCTAAGCGATGCATCCACAATCTTTGTACATGCTTTAGACTACCGTTTGTTCAAGTCAGTTAAAAGATGACGGCCCAATTTGCTTTACACTTAATCGTGACGGTCATTTTGTCAAATCGAGCTCAGTAATTGCGACACAGAATTTCCGATAACACAAAATTCGTTTACATTCCACCACGGGTCCAATGACACTTGATACAAACTTGAAACAATTATTTCTTCATAAGCACAAGAAGAACATCAAGAAATCATAATAAATATTTGAATGAAAAACACAGAGATACAGACACAACATTTTATTTATTCCATGAACCGTGGGGTACTCCACTCAAGAGCTGTTGATCTTCCTGCAGTTCTTCCTAATTTCTCCCTTGACACCTGTCAATGGAGAAATATTTCCCATCTTAACCATGGACTTTGCGAATTGTTCAAAGAAAAGCTCAGTGTTCTCTGCATATTTCTTCACTAAGTTTAGTGATGCTTGACTCTTAGTCACAAGAACTTGGTCGGAATTCAAAAGCCCTTTTGAGGCCAACAAATTCTTGAAGTAATTGTTGTCAAATTTTGTTGGGCTGACGAAGTCGAGGAAAAATAGGTTTTGGTCACCGCCGGATCGTGGGCACTTGGCTCGCAGTTGGGATGCGTAAAATTTATCCAAGGTAGAATCGGGTTTAGCATTTCCTGATTGGTTGTAGAGCCTTTGTCTGAAGCTGACACATCTTGAATTTCCAATCGTGTGACTCCCTGAGAAGAGATGGTTGAAATAAGGCTTTGTTTGTTATAGTTATATGTAATTCATTATGAGCTCGTTTGACATTATTTTTGCTTTTCGTAAAAGAACATTGAGAAGCTACCTTAACTTTTGCTTGAAAAGTAAAATTTCAAATAATTTATATTCCGAAAGTGCTTTTAGAGAAAGTCACATTTAGAGCTTGTTTGATAGAGATTTTGATAATTATTTTTTTGACCGTTAAAGATAAAATTGGTTCTACTTATAAGAGAAGAATTCAAAAATGACGGTTATAATAATGAAATAATAGTCAAAAAATTAATTTTAATTAATTTAAAATCTATACCAAACAAGCATTAGACTAACTTTCTTCAAAAATACTTCCAACTAATTTTTTCCTTCATAAAATTAGCCAAAATGGGTTGAAAAATAGTTTTTGGACTTAAACCGAGTCTCATTAAATTGGAAAAATGCATTTTGAAATAGTAACTCAATGGAGAATGTGTGGTTAAAATAAGTAAATATTTTGAATTTGCGTGTAATATTGTTTTATTAAAAAATGTGCGGTAAAAAAAAAAGAAGAGAAAAATGTATTTTGAAAAAAATGGGAATCAAACAAAGTCTTTTGGGTTTCAAAAGTTCCTTTTGAGTTCTTAAAAGTCACGCCAAACTTGTCCTAAGTCTATGCTTGAAAAGCTTTTTGAGATTATTAACTAATGGATCGTATCAAATGAGTGATTTAGCCATTTTTGGTGGTCATTATTTTTAAAAAAAATAATATTTTGAATCGTGATTTTCAAAAGAACGTGTGATTAAAAAGTAGAAAAATATTTTAAATTTACGTGTAGAATATTTTATTATGTGAATATTGATTAAAAATGAGTATGTAGAAAAAAGTTTTTAAATAATGATAGTCAAGCATGGGCTTAAAAGCAGATAAAAATTATTGATCCAGTGGAATCCGTAGTTAAAAAGGTAAAAGGAAGATAACTTATTGTCCATTATACCATTGAGGCTATATTTGAGTCACGTTTTTTTAAATAAATATTTTTTTAAATAGTGATTTGACATCATTTCAACCACACATTTTTCAATAAAATAATATTACACGTAAATTCAAAACTTTTTTTTTTATTTTTTAATCATATATTTTTCATCAATACACTATTAAAAAATACATTCTTAAAAATATAATACGACCCAAACAAGGGCTGAGTATAGTCTAATCAAATAATGTATATCAAAAATGGTGATTCAGGACGGAAGAAAGGACAAATTATAAAAGATGAAGTGTGGTAACTTTACCAGACAATGCCACGAGATCAGTAATGTCAAGCCCTTTTAGCTTAAATTTGGTGAGGATTGTTTGGAATGTGTTATTAGGAGCAGGAATGTTGTTATTGGAGCCACTCAAACTGGCACCTCTTGAATCCCTTCTTCCCAATGGAACATCCCAACTAGGTCCACCGGCCTATACAAAAACACAAATTTAAATTCGACTCCATAGTATTCACAAAAGTAATTTCAATTTTGTCTTAAATAGAATGACAAGGATTTACAAGAACGGTGGAATCCCTTGCAGCAAGAGCCATGATATCAGCACAAGAAACAGTTTGAGGGCACTGTTTTTCAACTGCAGATTTTATCGCATCAATGACTTCAAATCCACGAGCTGAATTCCTGTTAGGAACCGAGTTCTTCTCGCTTATTATGCTCCCACTGCTGTCCAAAAGTACTGATGCATCACATCCCTACACAGTTTATAATTAAAACTCGAAAATCAGACTACCCTTTTTGGCATATTTGTACATTATAATGTCCAATGAAAGTGACAAACCTTGACAAAGCAGTCATGAAAATGGAGTCGGAGAAGTGAAGCCGCCATACGAGTTTCTTTGGCTACAGCCTTTGCAACAACAGACTTAACAATTTGTAGGACTTGGGGGCATGTCCGCTGGTAGAACTGTGGGTGAAGACAAGCTTCATTGGACACCTGACACAAACAAAGAGGGGCAAAACGTAGTAGAGTTAAAACCATCAACAAATTCAGACTCCGATCCCCCATTCTCTCCCTTTCTCTGGATATGTATAGGAAATGCAGTACTGCTTAGGAGAATTTGAAGTGTTGAGGGACAGACTTGTTCCGATGAAAATTGGAAGAACTTAATGATTATTTATAGAGAACATGATTATTTATAGAGAATACTTAAAAGGGGGAGAGAGAGTGAGATTATTGGAGTCGGTGAATTTTTTTAGTTAAAAGAATTGTCACTTTCTCTACGATACCAAGTCGTAAAAGCATGCTTTCCCTTGATGTAGAAAAACGAATATACGTTTTCGCTTACAAGAATTATAATTCAGATTTACAATCCAAGTTTTCTTTCTTTCTTTTTAATTTGAAAAGTTATATTTTGTTATAATTAAATCACAACGAGAATATTGCGCTTACCTTTTCTTTTCAATAGGTAGAAGGAGGACCACCCCAACCTTGATCCTGACCCAAGGGAATGAAGATTCAGCTTGCTTAAGAAAGAGCATTCAAGAAATTATTCATATTAAAATTGAAATAAAAATACAAATTTAGGAAGCCAGGCAAGTAGAACAGGACCTCCAACTTGTAATAAATAAATAAAAAGGCTAACCCTTATATTACATAGTCGTAGTCATACTTGCAATCGTTGTATGATCAGTAATTGTTTTTGTTAGGCAATTTGTTGTCAAACGACCTCCCGGGCTATGATGTAATCCCGATTCTATTATCAATCGGCCTTGATCATATGATTGATTTGTACGTCGACGCAATTATCGAGACAACCCAATCCACATTTCTATGGACTGTTAGAAGCAAAATATTGTTAATAGTGTTGCTCACGATTCATCCCATTTCCTTGGAGGGCTATGGTATTAATTTGAAACCCATTATTTTGAGTCGAGTCTTGTTTGGTCCACTAAATAAACCTAACCTAACTTAACTTGTTTGGTCACTTGTTTGGCTTATATTCTTGGCCTCCACTATGAAGAACGTCCCATCTCTCTCTGTGACTGCTTCTCTCGATTTCTCCTCTTCCATATGATCTTTGTGATTTTCTTGTGGGTATATTATTGTTCTTCATCTTGTCCAATTCTTTGTGAGTATATTGTAGCAACCGGAGGTGGGAATCGGTGGTGGTATTTTGACGTTGTCTCAACCCGTTGGTGGTGTCGATCTATTTGGTGAAACTGAGCCCGATTTACCTTGGTATTTGCTGGAACTTGACCCTATAGTTTCTTAAACACACGACTCTAAAATCATCATCAAGTGGTTTAAATATATAGACATAATCATACTTGTTATCATTGTGTGGCCATCGCAATCCATATTGAGCCATGCTAGGTGTATAGGAGGTGTTTTACAAGGGCTTTACAGATAACACACGAGGATGAATGAGTTAATTTTTGGCTATTTTTTTATTCAGGTGGGACATCGTTTGTGAGTTATCCCAGCATCTGTGCCGGAGGAAAAACTGTACTAACATGCATGTTCATTATTACATGTTGGACAAAATTACCATGCTAGCTCGTACAACCTAAGGGGATTCTTTTAATTATTCAAACCTTGAAATGTGGTTATGGAAACCACATGGTTTGCACGCTTTTGATTATGAAAAGGCAACCACCACCTTAACCCTGTACAATCCCTTTAATCATGGGATGATTCTTTGTATAATTTCTTGTTCGCTACTATAAAGCTTTAATTTATTTATTTTTCATTTAATAGCATTAAGTACTATCAGAGTCGGATCTGAGCATAGGCTCAACAGGCCGCTGCCTCAAGCCCAGCTCTTCAAGGGGGCCCAAAATATTTTTTTTCCATTTTTTTCTTTTCTTTTTTTTTTTTTTGGTAAAACCCACTAATTAACGTAAAAGAATCCTCCCACAGTTGAGATGTTTTGTAAATGTCTTTTACGTTAAGTTTTAAGTTGGCAATTGGTTGTATAGTACACCGTTTAATTTTTATTTACGTTGATTTTGAGGGCCCAATTTATGGATTTCGCCTCGGGCCCCCACGATCACAGGACCGGCCCTGTGTACTATATACTAGGTTCATTTATAATTTTCCTCAACATTCAGAGTTCCTTTATGTGGAAGATGCTGATCGAAATGTTAATCCT